CGTATTCACCAGACTTAGCTCCTTCGGACTATTACTTGTTCCGGTCGATGCAGCACGGCTTGGTGGATACACACTTCAGAAATTACGAGGATGTGTGAAAATGGATCGACGAATGGATTGCATCAAAAGACCAATCGTTCTATCGTCGCGGAATCTACGCGTTGCCCGAAAGATGGGAAAAATGTATAGCTAGCGAGGGAAAATACTTCGATTAATGTATTTTTTGCTTTTGATGTCGAAATAAATGAATGTTTTAAACAAAAAAACTGCAGGAACTAAGTTTACCACCTAATATATACGGAGAGTAGTCTCTTTAAAACGCAATACAAGAAGAAAAAACGGCATTAACATATTCGCTACTAGCGTCACATATATGACGGTAACAATTTTTATTCTGTCTACATTATCAAACTAAGTTTGTTTTTACATAATTACGTAAAAAAAAAAAATACGAAATAGTCTGTGGGCAGAGTTCTCCAAATTAACTGTGATAGCGAACGTATTAAATAACTGCTCGTCAACATCAAAGTAAGACAATAGCTTGTACAGTCTACTTCAAGCTTTTCCATTGGTCCTTCAAGTTCGACGGAATGTGCAGAGTTAATGTAGAATTAAATTTTCTACTCGAGTGAAATTAACGATACAACGCAACACAGAAAGTTTAACTTACGTATAGTAACAAACCGAGTATGGTTCGACCGAGTCGAACGCATTTATCGAAGTTACTTTATACAATTTTCCATTATTATCGTTGAAGCATAAAAGTCTCCATCGTGGACAAGCTTTGCGTCACTTGATTATATGCACGAATACCGACACTCGTCTATTAACGACGTCCCAGGCCCCGAAAGTCCCACGGCCGCTCTCTTTTCTACCCCATCTGCCATATTCTCTCTCTCTCTCTCTCTCTCTCTCTCTCTCTCTCTCTCTCACACACACACACACACACACACACACACACACACACACACACACACACACACACACACACACACACACAACGATAGTACTTTTCGCCAGACACTTTCGCTCGAGCGTGAAACACGCCGCATCTGTAATTTCCGTGCAGGAACTCCGGAGTTTCTCTCCAAGCCACGTCTTTCGCCATCCCGTTCGCGTTTTCCTCCTCCTTCGCGCCCCGTCGTCGACTCTGTCGTTTCTTCTTTCGTTGCCATGTCGTCCGTACGTTCGCGGCAACTCGCCGGCAAGTGAGTATCGTTTCCCTTATTTCGCTTATCGCAAAAATCAATTGTTCGCGTAGAAAGAGAGAGAGAGAGGGAGAGGATAACGAACGGCAAGTATACGGGCGCAACAGCCAGGACGGCCCAGCCGGATGAGCGTCGTGCGCGTGAAATACGCAGGTACGTCACGCACGTGCCGTCGTCTCTAAATCAGTCGCGAGTGCGCGCGAGCTCTCGCTCTCGCGAAATATTTAACGACGACTCGTATCCTCCGTGCCTCGTTCCCAAACCGTGCGCCTGCTACGCCCCGAGCCTCCCCGCTGAATTTATTGCGTAATTTCAAAACGGTTCGGCGTTTCCGTGCCGACCGGTGACTCGCCGCGGATTGCACGCTCTCAAACGCGCGATAAATTAAAAGTCGCGACGTAACGTTCTCCAAACTGCCGTCCGCCCGGCCCGTAACCCGAAATGAACGGTTGTTACGGGATAACAACGGGCGAAGTTGCGACGCGCAACTCTCCCGCGAGCATTCGCAGCGCGATATCGATGGTAACGCCAACGATTACGTGTAAAGGCTTATTATAATAACGAATACGCATCAGGAGGTTACAATTGCTCGTAATAATGATATCGAACCGCGATTACACATAATTGGTGGAATTCAGTGCAATTCAATACTGTAATGGTAAAATTGACAAACGAGCGACATGGATCGATCAATAGACGCGTTAATCTTCGAGATCGCTTTGACGGTCCATAAAGTACTTCGTTAATTGTGTCTTACGCCTCTAATGGCTCTAAAGCTTGATCTACAAAATGTTCTTTGCTTCCTGCTCCTTTCTCTTTATCTCTTTCTGACTCAAACCTTAAGTTTTAAGCCTAATCTACAATGTGCTCTTTGCTTTCTGTTTCTTGTTCTCTGTCTTCTTTTAGTTTAAGGCTTAAGGTGTGAGTCAGAAAGAGATAAAGAAAAAAAAACAAGAAGCAAATAACACATTGTAGATCAAGTTTTAAGCCAGAAAAAGACAGAAAACAACAGAACGCAAAGAGTATATTGTAGATCAGGCTTTAAGTATTACATCATAGAATGCGCGGACACTTGATCAATTAAATCTAAACGCAAGATATTATCCTCACACACCGAAATGTGAAAGTAATAATTATGTTAACGAAATATGTATATTTCTTTAAATAATTTACATTGTCAAACATTATTATACTTCCACAATTCAAATTTAACACGAATATCTGTTCTAATTGACCAAGTTCGGGCGTTCTACGACTTCGTTAATCGATAAAGATTCTAAAACGCAAGTGCGCCATATCTGATAAATTTATTGCAACATTAAACGCATCATGGATATATTTTACATCGTACTTTAGATAAGAGGGTCATGTAATAAAGTACAAATTATACCCACTGGTGAGAGAGTTTATCAGATTCGAAACATTATTACGTGACAAATGATACCACAGCAATATTAACCCCGGTCGTTTCTCAGGCATTGTTTGATATATTACTCCGGTCACACGTTAAGCTACTGTCAGAACGATTAATTTCTCAGGTCTATCGCTAATGTCGGGGAGAAAAGGAGCCGTCTCCTGAAATTATCCTTGGGTATGATACCATCGCGCAGTAATCCAAATTCATGGATCTCTGAAATTATATGGTCACTGCTGTGGTATTCGTGTGGACTAAATAAACATTATTAATTAATAAGTGTTGATTAGTTAATTAGTTAATTATTAATAAATTAATTAGTTAATAAATAACTTTCTGCCGGAAAGTCCTACTATGCGCATCTTGTTTTTCATGTGAAGGAAATATTTCTTTTTTTATTTCGTTTAATTGCACGTTCCTCATAAAATATATTATTTACGTATAATAATTATATTTCCAATTAGCATTATAAAACCTTACCAACGTAAATATAACATTTTGCTTGAATAGATTTTTTTTCTTATGAATCATTATTCGTATGAGATAACTATGTGCGTTTGATTGGAATGACTTTCATGCGAATCGGACGTGTAGCACGTAGTACAAAATCAAACTTTAATTTGACATCCTTCAAATAATCAACAGGTTCCAAGTGGAAGTTGTACACCATGGGAGCCACTAAAGCTTTTAACTCTAACATGGCGTATCGTTGGCCTAACAATCGTAAATCCATTAAAATTTACTCGCTGAATAAGAAATTAATATCTTACAAATTACCTATGCAATTACGTGGTCCTGCACTGAACGGTATATAACAATAAGGATGACGTTTACTCATTTTCTCAGGTAAGAATCTGTCTGGGTCAAATATCTCCGGATTCGGCCAAAAATTATGATTGTGATGAAGTTTATAGATATAGAGATGCACCGTTGTGCCTTCTGGTACCACATATGGATCTAACATTAATAAACATAGTACATTTTACAAACAGCAATGAAAAGTTTAAAAAATAAATATATACATAAATTATATTGTACATATATGACAATTTTCCAGTGCGAGAAAAATAACTGATAAAATTGAGTTTAATTTAATAACGCAAGTTGGAAAAAAATTCAACTCTGAAAAATATTATAATTCATTATTACAATAAAATAAAGAAAATATATTTTTATAAAAATTTTATTGTAATAATGAATCCTTCTTTCTAATGTTGAAGTATTAATATGCAGTTTATTAATTTGGCATATTTATTTACGTTTCTTTGTAGTTTTACGCATAATCTATACAGAAAATATTGTCATATATGTATAAAAATCCACTAATTACTCACTTAATTGCACATCTTCACACAATTCGCGCGATATAATAGGAACACTAGGATACATTCTTATCGATTCTTTTAAGCATCTCTCTAAATATGGTAGATTCTGTAACGCGTTTATAGTAAGTTTCCCATCATTCTCCTGCATTACTTCAGAAATTTCTTTCCTCACACGGTCCTAGAAACATAAGTTTATATTTTACATATTGTTTACATACATACTGATTGTTGATTAAATCCAAAGTGCCAGTGTTCCTATATTTCTAAGACAATTTTTCTTCAGAGAGAAAGGAACGCTGTAAGGAATTTGTCACACATATGATTTTTTCCAAATTTAAAGTTACCTCCAATTATTTTACAAAAACTTCAACTTACAAAATATATGGAATAAATAAATAAGCTTATTTAATTATGTGTACATTGATTGGTAACTTACATTGATCGATATCTAATTATGTAATAGGGGAAAAATATACCTGGATATCCTTGTGTTCAGCTAACAGTAATAAACTAAAACATAAAGCTATCGCTACAGTATCGTGACCCTGTAATAATAAGAACTTTTTACAATTAATTCGATTTTACACACACGAACAGTAATAACCGTAATAAATAACAGTAATAAGTAATAGCAATAATACACGCAAATAAGAAAAATTCCGAAGAAATGTTTTATATCAAAGTACATATATTGTTGCTTTTGTTGAAATGATTAGCTTATAGCATATAGTAACTAAACAGAAACGCAGTTATATTTTTATATAATAGTTTTATAAAATAGTTCTTGTTATATTTTTTAACACTTTGACAAAACTAAAGCGTTTACCTCGAACATGAAGGTGTCGACTTCTTCTCTAATATCTAAATCAGTAAACCCACTGTTATGAGATTCCGCTATCAAAATATCTAAGAGGGCCATTCGTTTCTTTTTAACTTAAACAAATATGACATAACTTGTAGGAAATTGTTTCATAACACACACACAATTATTCTATATTCCGAACATACCTGTCACTTTCATGTCTTCAGTTTCAGTATTGTTTTCAAAATATTTTAAGTACCGTCTACCGGTTTGTTCGTGATAAACTTTCCTTTCTGCAATAATCTACGAGAAAATGAAACATAAAACCGCACTTGCAACGTTCACTTATGCTATCGTACTGCAAAAAATATTTCTTACTTAGCCCATTGGCACAGATTGATACTTTTTATTTATAGAAAAGAAAAAACTTTACTTAAACGTTTAAATGATATAATTATGGCTACTTACTTTTTCGGTGAATGAGTGCAATATATTCAAATATTTATCTTGCATATTACTCAGTGACGTTAACTTGAATAGTGTGTCGCTTACAAGCCACGGTTTAAAAACTCTAAATGCAATTATACAAAATTAAATATGTCTAGAGGAACAAATTGTATTACTTCTAAATAGTACACGTTAATTTCTTTTATAAATTACCTAGCGATTAGGATTTTACCCATATTAAAAATTGACTGACGATACTCTTGTTCAAACCGACCAATATCTTTCAAAGAAACGCCCATGGAAGTTTCTACAAATAAACTTGTTGAAGACATATAAATTTCTACTTGTTGGTCATATTATTTACAGTAGTTTATTACTGTATACAAGTAATTCATCATATATTACTCGAAAACGGTAAGATATAGAAAAATACTTCAATTTAAGTCGGAAAACAATTTCTTATTAACAAATTATATCTTCGACTGTCTTTCCTTTCAAAAACGTTAAAATGTGTAATTTTCAAAAAAACTGATGAAATTAATGAAAATTATTGTGAATATAATATAAACGTTTAATTAACTTTTTCTTTTCAAAAAGAAAAAGAAAAAAATATATATAATTATAAATGTATATACCACATATTGCATTTAATGTATGATAACTGGTAAATAACTGCACGTCTTCAATAATTGACTCTTCCGCATGATTCAAAAGTTCTACTGCGCTATTGCCTTCTTCAACAAAGACCTCAACAAACTGTTTCAGTATAGAAAAATGAAATGCAGGTGTCAGCAATTTCCGTCTTTTTTGCCACTTCATGCCTGTAGTAAAGATAAAATAATATTTCGCCATATATATATAGGGTATTTAAAAGTACCGGAAGTCTTTTAATACTTCGAAAAGGAACTATTTTACAAAAGGTATTTTAGACAAAAATTTTAAGGTTTCAAGAAGAACTTATAATAATGTTTATTAGCTTGACTTTGTGATTATGACGCGCTAAGATCTTTTCAAGGAGAGTCATTTTGAATTTTTTAAATGATTTAGATTATTCCGAAACCTTTTAAGCATCTTGTATAAATATATGAATATTATTCTCGTTTTTTATGTTTATCGTGTTGCATATGCACATATGTATATAGAAAATAAATATTCCTATAATTTATATCATGCTTGATAATCAAAAGTTAAACGATAATTATGTAACTTCTCTTTGATAAATCGTAGCACAATGTGCGTTGGCGTACACACACAGATATTAACTTTTTCCTATATAAAATTTATTTACTCTCCTATATAAACAGTATATAAATGTAATAAATATATAGCATTTATTTCCCTACATAAATTATATTCTAAAGTGTTGCTATTTGTTTTCTCAAAGACTATCGGAGGAAACGACAATTATCTTAACAATAATTACACGTGCAAAGATAAATTGTGCGCTATTATTAATTCGATAATATTACCTGTGCTAGTAAGAAGGCCATCGCCTAGCCAAGGATGTAAAAATTTGTAAACATAACCTTTCACAATGTTTTTCGAGCTGCTTAGTATTTTCTAAAATCATAGATATCACAAAATTAAAAATCTCATCGTTAGTATTAAATTATGAAATTTAAAAAATAGAAGGTAGCATGCTGGGAAATATATGTATTGTTTTGAATTGAAGCTATACATATCGAATTTAGTCATTTTTAGTAAAAATGCTACATGGTCAATAAGATGAATATATTTTCTGTGATAATTGCTTAACCTCTATGTAATTCGGATCATAAGTGAGAACGTTGGGTATCGTAAAAAACCATAACCTAGTGATTGAGTGATTTTTCATCACTTTTTCATATATAAACAACCATAGTCCCTCTGAAATATAAAGAATATCAAAATTAAGTTTATTATTATTACAGTACCATTCGCGCGCGCGCGCGGCAAATCGCTATATGATTTGATCATTATTAACGTCTTGCATCTCGCTAATAAGCTACTATGAAATATTGATTAGAAATACTAATTTAATTCTTCATTGTATATGAGTGATAAGCAAATCAATAACTCATTAAGTAAAGATTCACATAATTTTTTACTTACCTTGTGAACGCCAACAAACATGTAGAATATTGCCTATAATAGGAAGTGATATATGTCCCGGTATACGATTAATAAGTCGTCCTTTTCTCCCAAAATAATTGATATAATAATGCAAGAGTGCGAGGAAGAGGCATGTTAATAATAAAGCGGTAATCATTGTTCGTTGAATTATTAACCAATTTAAAATTTTCGTCGCACACGCGCACGTTCTCCTTTTATCTTTCAAAGGTTATGCTGCAACAGAAGAAACGGAATATTGTTTTACGAGGAATTATCGATGATAATATATAAAAAATATAATTGCAAACACTCATGCATTTATCAATGAACCGATATATAATTTTACAATTTCATAGAAAAATATAATACAAGAGAGATTGAAGAACTTGTGACAACGTTTGGTATGTCGACGTATCGCGTCTGAACACTTAAATGTGTACGAGGGTGGTCTGAAAAGTTTCCGACCTAACAAAGATACAAGTCATTTTTTCTGAAAATTGTTTTTTATTTTTCAACATAGTCTCCTTGTAAATCTACACACTTCTCCCAGCGATGCTCCCATCTCTGTAACCCGTCGAAATAGTACTCGGCGTTTTTCTCTGCAAAATAATTGTTCACGAAGGTGATTGCCTCTTCATTTGACGAAAATCTCTGTCCTCCGAGCGCAATTTTTAGATGAGGGAACAAAAAGAAGTCGCTTGGGGCTAGATCTGGTGAGTAAGGTGGATGGTCAAGCAGTTCAAACCGTAATTCGTGGATTTTCGCCATGGCAACCGCTGAGGTGTGAGACGGTGCGTTGTCTTGGTGAAACAGGATTTTCTTTTTCTGCAAATGTGGCCGTTTTCCCGCAAGTTCTGCCTTCAGCTTGTCAAGTAATGATGCGTAGTATGCTCCTGTAATGGTTTTTCCTTTTTGAAGATAATCGATTAAAATAACTCCATGACTATCCCAAAAAACAGTCGCCATCACTTTCCCAGCCGAAAAAACAGTTTTTGCTTTTTTTGGAGCCGGTTCCCCCTTTGCAGTCCACTGTTTGGACTGTATTTTTGTTTCAGGCGTATAATGGTGTATCCAAGTTTCATCTACAGTAATTAATCGGCGCCAAAACTCGGATTTATTGCGCCTAAACTGCTCCAACAGAGCGTTGGAAATGTTCATTCGAACACGTTTTTGGTCTAACGTGAGCAAACGCGGCACCCAACGCGCGGACAGCTTTCTCATGCCTAAATGTTGATTTAATATGCGACAAACACGTTCTTTTGACATGTTCATAACCTCTGCTATCTCTCTCACTTTAATTCGGCGGTCGTCTAGCACCATTTGGTGAACTTTGGCGATGTTTTCGTCGGTAGTTGCAGTTTTTGGACGTCCTGAACGTTCATCGTCTCCCAAGCTCTTACGGCCACGTTTAAATTCAGCGGCCCAAAATTTCACTGTCGTAAATGATGGTGCAGAGTCCCCATACACAGAATCCAACTCATCTTTGATTTGCGTAGGCGTATTGCCTTTCAAAAACAAATATTTAATGACAGCTCGATACTCGATTTTGTCCATTTTCACAAAAACACTCACATCAACTTACTCAAACGACTGTTACATAACAACTGCGAGTCCAAAATGGCTGAAACTTCGGTGAGTAACTGTCAACAGATGAACAACGAAATTCACTAGCTTTTATTTACAAGTGCTGCTATCTTCACGTTGAGGTCGGAAACTTTTCAGACCACCCTCGTACGTTGGATCAAATATCTCTACTTGTTGGTAGTTTTATAACAAGAAATGTTATACGGATCTTTCACAACATTCATTATCTGTTTCTTCAATGTTGTTCATGAAACGATAACTTATCATTGTCAGTATCAGTTATGGTTGCTACACAGTCGACGTTATATAGGGTATAGCAAAAGTACCGGAACGGCAAGATAATTCGGCGGGGGAGCATTTTAGAGAAAAATGTTTCAGACAAAAGTTGTAAGACTTAAAAAAACGCATTCAACGATAGTAGTTATTTGACATAGGATGGCGTCGCCAAGGTCAACTTTGCTTTTTTAAATAGAAACACATATTTTTTATTACGGCATTTTATTCAACGTAAAAACGCAAACAACTTTTGCTTGAAAAAATTTTTTATACGACTTCTATTTTCTAAGATATTTACGTAAATATCTTAGAAAATAGAGGTCGTATAAAAAATTTTTTCAAGCAAAAGTTGTTTGCGTTTTTACGTTGAATAAAATGCCGTAATAAAAAATGTGTTTCTATTTAAAAAAGCAAAGTTGACCTTGTTCTGACCTTGGCGACGCCATCCTATGTCAAATAACTACTATCGTTGAATGCGTTTTTTTAAGCCTTACAACTTTTGTCTGAAACATTTTTCTCTAAAATGCTCCTCCGCCGAGTTATCTTGCCGTTCCGGTATTTTTGCTATACCCTGTATATAATTTCTTAAATCTAGTATTTCACCATTTTCAACATTTCACATAAAGTAGAAACTATTATAATTAGAGAACTATTATAATCCAATATAATTGAATTACTTATACAATTTTCAATCTTATACGTTATGTGTAAAGCTGAAAATCGTGTAATTGTCGATTGAACGGTATATAATCCAGCTAGAAAAATAATATTATCAATAGGAAATATGTATTTGTGACTGTTGTCTAAATACATATAAATACAAAACGTATATTTAAATATACAAGAAATATTGAACAAGATACAAGATTGAAGAAGATACAAGAATTTTATAGGAACACGGAAATTTTTATACAAATAATTTTGATTTTTTTTAAGAATTTTATATGTATTATGTGTAAATATCACACGTATAATATGGCGATGGAAAATAATATCACAACTATTACACTTCGAGAATTCGCTGGGATCAATATGACGATACTTAAAGGCTTACAAGTTAAATAAGCGAATATTAATGCTAAGTATTAGTCTTATCGTTTATAAACTGATATTGTACTGATAACATAAATCCATAACATGATAACATAACTGATAATTTAAATATATATAAAACAATAAATTAAGGACCATTAGAGTTAACGCACAGGTTGTATAGTGCTATTATAAACTATTAAACCATAGTGACACAATCTCGCAATGAGAACAAATTTTATTAAAAATCATACGCGTTTCGGTCTCATTTCGCAGACCCTCTTCAGTGATAACAAGAGTTGGTATAGTGTTGGTTTAGTTATATTATTTTAAATATATACGTTAACATTTATCAATTTATACCGAGTACATACAATTTTATTCAAAGTAAACAGACTTCACACATGTAGATACGTTTCCTGTACACCGCGTGATCAATTGTATCACCATCTTAATATATTTACTGAAATGTTTTAGCTTGGTAATTAATAAGCGAGTTTTATTAACAATATATCAGGCATCTATTTATTATAAAAATCTTAAATAAATTTCTTCTACATTGAAAGATCGCAACCATAATCGAAAATGAGTACGTGAGCGGATAATGCGAGAGAAAGTACGATCTTGTCGTGTAGTAATCCAGACGGATACTTAAAGAGTCAGCAAGTGTATTATAATGATAATGACTATCTCCAGTATATTATTTAATAAATGACCAAGTAAATCATCTTTATGTCGTATATTCACCACAGGTTCGCCTCTCCGTACTTCTTACTTCTAGCACTTCTTGCACGTACTACTCTAGTAAATCACTACAGCGGAAAAGTCTGTTTTCCGCGTATATATTCTTATAAATCTATATACAATGTCATCTATCTACAATGTTATCATAAGAGCTGTATTGACATCCTCTATTGACCTATTTCGTAAGAATTATCTCTTGACCTGTTTGCACATTGACCCAAAAAATATCATTTACCGATATCTTATCGATATCCAACTTGGTCATTCTGATTTAACATATACGACTCGAATGTCAAAAGTAATTACAACTTGAACATAATTCGAGTAAAATATTTCACTATTCTTTTGTGCGAATATAATCTGTTAAAATATGAACACTAAATAAGAAAAAGAAAAAAAAATTCGAAATAGGTGGTAAAAATAGACGCTAGATACAGTAAAATTTCTTAAATAATAATAGTCATATAATAACATAATTCAGCATACGATTTTTTATACGTACAGATAAATCTAACACTAAATATGAATTAACTCTCTCAGTTTTAGTTTTCAATTTGTCGGGTGACATCACCGTGTTATACAATCCAGCTATAACGTTAAAGTATGTTTTTAATTACGTTTTTTATTTAAAACCTTATTCTCTGTTCTTATTTAGCATATATTTTACCCTTATTTTAAATTATTGTTAAGTTGCATTTTTGCATATTCTTATTTAGCATATATTTTATCCTTATTTTAAATTATTGTTAAGTTGCAAAAATGCAACTTAATGATAATTTAAATTAAGGATAAAATATATGCTAAATAAGAATATGCAAAATAATTTAGTATAAACTTTGGCACTTCGTTTAACTTTTTAAAAATTCATGGTTTCGGTCGCAAATACACCATTTATGCATATAAAATCCATTATAATCATAATATTAAATTCATATATACACGCGCGCGCACGCGTAAAGTCTGTGCTAGCTTCAAGCGACTTCTATTGAGACAAACTTTACATTCAGCGGATGATTGCATTCCATATGTGGATGTCGTAGCATTAGATCAGCTGTCACCTCTATGTTTTTTAGATAATCGATAGGTTCCAAGTTAAAATTGTGCACGAGAGAAGTTATTATAGCCTTCATCTCCAACTCGTTGGCCTGTGCCACATACATATACATATTTATAACTTGTGCATTAGAAACTGTTCACATCTAAAAGCGTAAGCATCGCACTAGCTTACTTATACAGTTTCGTGGTCCCGCGCTGAATGGCAAGTACGAATAAGAATGACGCTTTTGTATTTTTTCAGGTAAGAATCTGTATCGAATCTGGATCGAATACATGGGGATTCGGCCAGAAATTGGGATCTGTATGAACGTCATAGATATTGAGATGTGTAATTGTTCCACGAGGTATTATATATGAATCTGTAAAATATATTATATAATTAGGTCTAATTTGTAAACAATGATTAAATATTACTATAATGCTAACATATAAAAAAGTATGAAAAATATATCATATTATCATTCCGATTTAATTCTGACAATTTTAAAACGTAAAATTTAGAATATTTTTATACATTCATAAATATTTATTGCTGTTATCACGTAATTATACATTCTCCCCAGTAATTCGTACTATGAAATGCACGCTGGAGTTCAGCCGATTCCTTCAAATATCTTTCTAAATATGATAGATTCTGCAACGACGTTATAGTCAACTTCCTTTCACACTCTTTCATCACTGTATTGACTTCCTCCCTGACGCGATCCTACCACCAACACTGATTAGAATTGCATTCCTCACTACTCCATTATATTTTCATGTATACACAAAGAAATAGTTTCAGCAATTGTCTACGTGCATTGCCCGTTAAAAGATTCCGGACACCTATAAAATAGGGGACAATAAAAGAGAGGGGATAATAAAAGAGAAATACTAAGTTAATCTATATTTTATTAAATATTTTCTAAAATAGATGTTTCAATTACACATTGAGCAAAAATATTGAACAAAAATATATTCTAAGTATTATAAACTCCAACAAGAACTTAAACTGTCTTCTTTTCAAAGAATCCGCCTTTTGCTTTCATCACAGCTTTGTCCAGTCTTGGCATGCGTTTTACAAGACTTTCCAAATAATCTTTTGAGATATTATCCCAGGCCTTTTGAAGAACTTCCCACAATGTTGAAACAGATGATAGACAATTCTTACGCACTTTACGGTCCAATTGGTCCCTATTGAAGAAAAGATAGTTTATGTTGGAGTTTATAATACTTAGAATATATTTTTGTTCAGTGTGTAATTGAAATATCTATTTTAAAAAATATATTATTATTAATATATATTAAAAAATATATAATATATATTAAATATATTAAATATATTTATAATTATATTAATTATATTAATTATATTTAATATATATATATATAATATATATTAAAATATATATTAAAAAATATATTTAAATATATTTAATAAAATAATAATATAGATTAGCTTAGTATTTCTCTCGTTTCTCCTTTACTTTCCCCTATTTATAGGTGTCTGGAAATTCTTAACAGACAGTGTATATATCAGTGTTATCTGCTCCCTTCCTCTAAGCACATAGTGTTATTCCTTATGGAAAATTAAATGAGAAAGTCCTGAAGTATTTTTTCAACTTTAATGAAGTAGTTATTTTTAAATAAATTCCAGCTAATCAACTCTTTCGCCGCTACAGCGCTCACGTATATTATCAGACGCGTAGCTTACACATGAGCCCGTCTAAAGGATGGCGCTGATTAGCTGAAATTTATTTAAAAATAACTGCTCTGTTAAGTATGATAGAAGAAAATAGTTCAGGACTTCCTGATCTTATTTTCCATAAAAAATAAATATGTATTTAATGGGCGGATGAAATATCCTATACTTATATTTATATTAAGGATAGTTGTTTCTGATTAATCTCGTTCGATTAATTTCAGTGTGTAAAAAAATACACAGCGATGAATATTTTAAGTTTTTATCTTTTTGAAATTAATTAACGACTTAGTGGTTGAATATAATTCATCAGTTGTCTTTTGTTACATCCCATGTTTTTATGGACAAAAGTATCTGAATATTCTTGTATTCTGCTAACAGCAACAGAGTGAAGCATAGAGCCACCACTGTTGTGTCATGACCCTATAATCAGTTTGTGTATTAGGTCTCTCCATATAGGGTGTCCCATTTTAAATTACGCACCTGAATATCTCGTCAGGGGAGCCACCAATCCGAAAATAACCCTTACAAAAGTTGTTGGGTTCGGAGGGGGACATCGGATGGTGATTTTCAATTTCACCTTGACATTCAAGATTATTTGAAGGTCAAGGTAAAATTGAAAATCACCATTCGATGTCCCCCTCCGAACCCAACAACTTTTGTAAGGATTATTTTCGGATTGGTGGCTCCCCTAACGAGATATTCAGATGCGTAATTTAAAATGGGACACCCTGTATAATAAGCTATCGAGAAAAAATTACACAAATATATACTTCGAACATGAAGATATCTACTTCTTCTCTGATATCTAAATCACTCAAATGATTTTCTTTAGAAGCTGCTATTAGAAGATCCAACATGGCCAGTTGTTTTTTCTAACTGAATCAAAGCAAAAATACTGTAATTACTATATTGCGACATTAGAGCGAGATCGAAATTTAAGTTTAAATTACATACTTCCATTTAGTTTTATATCATCTGTTTCCAAAACAATATAAACTTTAAGAAAAATATTAATTCATTTTACAACTCATATTATTGCACTAATATGTTAATATTTTTAATCAGTATATTATTGTATAGCACATTCACGTTTAAATTTCGTGCATTGAGAAGTTACATAAATAAATAAATTGAAGAATATAAAATAACTTAATTCTTACATATTTTTTCAGTGAATCCATACAAATGTTGTACTGTCTTCTTTTGTACTCTAGCCGTGGGCGCCAATGCGAATATCATGTCGTTATAACCAAGGTCTCATTAATCTAAACAGTATTATTATATAACGCTGAGACTAAATTTGAGAAAATAATCAGGTGAAATGAATAGTGAGCAACATTTAACATTCAGTATCCCAAAGACATACATTTATTGTTTTTCTTTTTATTTTTATCTTTTCTTTTTCATGTTATAAATCGTTCGGCTAGCATCAAGATATATAAGTTTGTCTTCTGTTCAATTACACACGCAATTTTTTAACAATATTTCAATATTTAACAATATTTAAATAATTATAATATTTATTATTTTAAGAGATTTAAATAATCTTGTTTTTACGTATCACGTGAAAAGAACTAATTAAAATTAAAGTAACGACAAACAAAGAGAAAATATGCAATCCTCAAATTATATATGGTCTGTTATAAGCCCTTCCGTCTCAAAGCAAAATTATTTAAATCTCTTGAAATAATAAATATTGTAATTATTGAAATATTGTAAAAAAATTACGTGTATAATTAAATAGAAGACAAACTTATATCTTAATGCTAGCCGGATGATTTATAACACGAAAATCGCTATTATGTTTGGTTGCAAAATAATATATATTTTATTACTAAAATACTTCATAGTCGAATTTACGGCACAATTGTACTAACCTATGTCCCTTTCGCAAATAACACTGTTGTAGCACTAATATAAACCCTAACTAATATTACTATTGCGATATTATCGTTCATTTTCTTATTCTTATGGAACGCTTCCTTTGACAG